TTGCCCTTGGTGTGACCTTCAGGAGAACACATACCAGAAACAAGGCCTAAAGGACCTTAGGGTTGGGTGTTCGGCCCCTTCAGGTCATGGGATGCCTGGTGCCCCTTCCTGATGGTACCCCTGGCTGGTCGGGGAAGGTGGGGTATATGCTCCCTCTCAGCCTTCGGAGAATCCAAATAAATCTGGTTTGAATCCAGATATGAACACGGGCTTTTGTGGGGGACACATGAGCCTCCTTTGGGGGAGCCTATTGTTGGAAGACTGATGGTGGCTGGTGTACCCCATTCTCTCCCCGCCCCCCAAGGCCACCTCCATCAGCAGAGAAAGAGGCTTTCAGGGAGAAGGCAGGTGGGGACTCTGCCTGCTGGGTCTTCCCATCTAATGCTGGCTCACATTGTAGAGTGCTGATTCTGGGCTGGGCACCAGGGGAAACTCTGGGTATTTGTTGGGGGAGAAGTAATCTGCTTGAGGAACTCAGAGGGCCTTTGGGAAAAGAGCCAAGACCCTAGCTCTTGAAACTCTCGGGGTGGGAGAGAGAGTCTGATGAGCAAGGCCTAGAACAGGGCAGGGGATGAGGGCCTCCAGTCTCTGGCCTTAATCCAACCTCTCAACTTCTGCTTTTGGTGGTGGTGTTCCTTTCTAGAGCCTTCAGCTCAGGTAAGGGCAGCCTCTGAGTCTTGTGCCAGCAAAATGCCAGGCCATGCCCTTTGTGAGCATGATTTATTTAATCCTCTCAAATAACCTCACGACAAGGCATCATCATTGTATAACAGGAAACTGGGGCTCAGAGTGGGTGAGATTCTCACGCCAGATCACACAGCAGTCCCATGGCACAAACCAGCGTGAATCCCCCTGCAGCACCCAGCTCTCAACATCCTGAACTTCATCATACCAACTCTGTCGCATTTAGTGTACTTTTGGGTTTCTCATTAATCCTCTCATCTCTGACCTCAGACTGCCTGGGTTCAAGTTCTGGGTCTGCCATTTACTGGCTGTGTGACCCTGAGCAAAGTGCCTCAGTTGGTTCATCCATAAGACGAAAATGTTCGTAATAAAGAATACTAATTAAATAAGCTATTCCAGGTAAAGGACTTAGACCAGAGCCTGACATAAGCAAGCACATTAGCAACTGCTGCGGGTTTTATTATTGGTCAGTGATGCCTGATCTGCGTCCCTTCTGAGGTAGAATCCCCGGGAGAAACATACGTTGGTAAAGAGTACTTCATTAGTGGCCAGGGGTCCTGGGTGCTGGACCATTTTGTGTTAATGATTCACCGTGTGGGCTCAGAGACATAACGCCCCCATCCCCAACCCATGTCGGCAACATTCCTGGGTCCCTTTGCCCCAGTTGGTAATTGACAATAACAATATTTCCTGAGCACGTGGGGGCCAGATTTACCTGCCTAATCTCTGTATTCTCATAACCAACTGGGCTCCCGAGTGAGCTGTTTTGTTATCTTCATTTTACAAAGTAGGAACTTGAGGCTCAGAGAGGTTAAGGAAAGCATCCAGAGTCACACAGCCAGAAAAAACACAGAGTTGAGATCTGAATTCAAGGAGTCTGCCTCCTGGCCACAGGCTTCACAGTTGTGCTGGAGCAAAGTTAAAGCTGTGACTGAGATCAGGTTTAGAGGCAGCCCGTCATGACTCTGTGGGCTGGAGAGTCTGGACAAGAAACCAGACAGCCCCTCCCAACAGCCTGCCCTCGGGGGATTCTCACACAGGAAGATAAAGAATTGACCACAAAAGAGCCCTTCAGTGCTAGGGAAGCCAAAGTATCCCTGACAAAAGGCCCCGTTGTCATAAGCAAATGCACAAACCCTCACCCTCAATTTGTTTCTTCACGTCTCCAGACCCAGGGACATTTGTCTTATCAGGTAATGGAATTGTTTTTAGTGGCAAGAATGAGCTCATTACGGATGCAGCTTGTGCTAATAATGATAATGTGCTCGGCAGCGAAACCACCTCTCTGCTTCCCCCGACAGACGGACGACGCTCCAGAAATTACAGGCTAGGGAGAAACAGAGAGGGTAAAGATTAAGGAAAAGAAATACAGTGGGGGACCGCTTCCACAAAAGGAGTTGCAGATTTGTACATTGAACTTTGTGATCTTAATCATGAAGTTGTAGAATTAGATACTATGAAACCATTTTTAATGGCGTTATTCAATTTTGTTACCTGTCACTGGGTTGTTGTTTTTTGCTTTTGTTTTACAGTTCAAGCCAATTTTCAAAGGCGGTACCAACTGATTTAGTCGGTGACTTAAACACTGATGCGCAATAGGATCTCATGAACAAGATCGAGATGAGAGCACCTTGCAAGGAAGCATTTCCATCCTGGCCACCCCTTAATTTCACGGGCAAAGAGCTCAACAACCTTGAGTCCAGAGCAGTCATCTACAAATTCTGTGGGTTTGGGAAAGGCGGCCAGGCAGAAACGGCTTCCACCTCCCTCACTAATGAGGGGTCAGCAGAGCCGTGGCCGGCTGGACCACCTGTCCCCGGCAGCGGGGGACCCATCTATCTCCTGCTTTCCTTAAGGATGGAGGCGGGTGTGGGGCAGGGTGGGGGGAGTCATTCTCCCAGGGTCTTAACAAAGTTGGAAAAAATCTTAACTATATTCACTGAGGTTTGTCCCAGTCCTTTGAACAAGATGCCAGCTACCTTCTATTAAGACATGGCTTTTTTCCTGTAAACATATGATCTCAAGAAGATTAAAATACCTAAAATAAAGATTTTTTTTTTAAGGTAACTTTTTTTTCGTGATTATGAAAACAATACTTGTGGGCTGTGGAAAATTGGAAAGCACTCAAACAAGAAAATAAAAATAACTAATGATATACCATCATCCAAATAACCATGGGTAGCATTATGGGCTAGTGTCCTCTCCCCTCCCCGCTCTGTTTTAAAAAATGAAAAACAGAATCATAGTGTGTGTGTGGGTGGGTGGGTACACATGGGTTTGCTGTTATTGCACAGTTTTATGGCCTGTTTTTCATGTCCTATATTATAAATATTTGTCCATAACAATTATTCTTCTATCACATTACTGTTTGGTAATAGGGATAGATTGTAATCCCAAGTCCTGTGGGGTTTGGGTTGCTGCTTTGTTTTGTATGACAATTCCCCTGTACACACATCCTTGGTTGTTTCCCTGGACAAGGAAACCTATCTGGGCCAGGGCCCCTCTGGCTGTCTGGTGAAATATGCAGGCCTCTTCTCACAATAACCGTTTTTATTTTATTTTTTTTAAAGATTTTTTTATTTATTCGAGAGAGAAAATGAGAGAGAGCATGAGAGGGAAGAGGCTCAGAGGGGAAGCAGACTCCCCGCTGAGCAGGGAGCCCGATGTGGGACTCGATCCCGGGACTCAAGGATCATGACCTGAGCTGAAGGCAGTCGCCTAACCAACAGAGCCACCCAGGCGCCCACAATAAACGTTTTTAAATGCAGAAAGCAAAATACACGACATTACAAGGGAAACTAATTATATTGAACTATGATCAAAGTATTAAATAGGACAATTTTATGAACTAATCGTGTTTATACATAGATTGAAGAGCAATATGTTAGGGTGTAGATATGGTCGCGCTAATAACTACATAATTATAAAGTAGTGATCAACACTGACATTACGTTAAGCTGTATGTAACAAAAGTCATGGTCCGAACGGACCCGTGGCTTCTATTAGGCCAAGGTGACAGGTACGGACGGCTGTGGTCTGTTGCGTAAATGAAGGGAATACTAAATCACACTTGGAGGTTTGTAAAAACAAAGAGGTAACTCCTTTCTCATCAAAGTTCTTTATACTCATCGGAGTTAAAGATTTGACACCTGATTTTTCTGCCCAGGGAACCCCAGTGAAAATTCCCGCCCTGTGCAAGACTCCCAGGAGTCGAGGGCATTGTATCGTTTCGGCTCTGCCCGTTATTGAGCCTTTGGATGCCTGCACCGGTCTCTCAGCTCCGGGAGCTGCATTCGATGTCTTCTGAGGGCCAGTGGATGCAGAGCGAGGGCAGAGAGAGTGCCTGTTAGTGGCAACAAGTATTAGCCAGCGCTATGGGCCGAATTGTGTCCCCACAAAACGCCATGTTGAAGTCCTAAGCCCCAGTACCTCAGACTAGGACTTCTTTGGAAAGGGGCTCATTGCAGGTATAATAAGCTAAGTTTAGACACGCTCATCCTGGAAAAGGGTGGACCCTAATCCAGGGTGACTGGCATCCTTATAAGAAGACAGCCATGTGAAGACAGAGACACAGAGGGGACGTCATGTGACCATAAAGACAGGGATTGTAGTTATGCACCAAGGAAGGCGGAGGATTGCCAGCAAGCCACCAGGAGCTGGAAAGAGGCAAGGACGGATTCTCCCTCAAGGAAGGATTACGTTTCTGAGGGAGCCTGGCCCTATTAACACCTTGAATTTGGATTTCTAGCTTCCAGAACACTTCTGTGTTCTAGCAATATACTTCTGTTGTCTTATGGCGTCCAGTTTGAGGTCCCGTTACAGCATTTGTACAGTGGAACAAATACGTCTCATGTGTGCCAGTTGGGGTCTCCTGAGGAGGGGGACTCTGAAACACCAGGGCGGGGTAGGCATGGCATCGTGCCAGTGTTGGGAACTGCCACGTCAGGACCCAAGATGGCCGACAGGGACCGCTGGTTAGAGGGCTGGGCTAGGGCTACCTAAGAGCCTGATCCAGGTGCACAACACTACCTCAAGGTAAGGAAGAGAGTGGCCTCACCCTGGCTCTTCTCAAGGTCAGCGCAACCTAGAAACCCGTCGCCTATAGAAACCTTCAGCATGCTGAGAAGTAGCCTCCTTATTCCCACACAGTGAAAGGTCTTTATCATTAATGACATGCTATTGCCAAACAGACAGGGTGCGGGTGGCCATCGAAAGGATTCTTAGGTTTTGAAATTTCCCTAGTGCCTGTTGGATGTGGGTGAGGGGCTGGTTCTCATGCAAGAATGGTGAGCTTCTGAGTCCCCCTTTAAGTTCACCTCTCCCTGGGAGGCTGTCTGCATCAGCTTTCTGCATACTTTGCTGAGGACAGTGGCTCAAGATAAATCTTCCCGTTGCACGACATATTTGTCCTTTGGGCACAGCCACACGTCACTGGAGGTCTGGGGTCCTCTGTCAGGGGTCTTCCGTGGCCAAGACAGCTCCCACCTGGAAGAGAAACCATCCTGACCAGTTGCAGGCTGATGGCCCAGCTAAGCAGGGAGGCTACTGCAAACATTTCATCCCCTTTTTGAAAGTAGTGGGAAAGAAAGAAAGAGCACTCCCTTACCTGGGAGAGAAAAATCCGGATATTTGGGCAGCTGCCCTCCATACTGCAAAACTTCTGGAGAAGGGGCAGAAGGAGGTTGTGTGGACCCAACTCCATATATTCTAAAGGACAAAAGTCATAGGCTTACTCCTCTTTTTAATAATAAAGAGAAGAAATTTAATCTATGTAGGTCCTGTGTGAGCACAGCAGGTTACTTTCCAATCCTGACGATTTATCCTAAACTTAAAGGATTATCGTATCTCCATTTTGCAGAAGGGAAAACTGAGGCCAAAGAGCTGCCCTCTGCAGGGCCATACCATGCCCCTCCCTCAGTGCCCTCGGGCCTTAGGTTGCCGCCAGGACAGGTGGCCCTGTGGGTTTTTACTCCCGGCTTCTCCCTGCAAACCAGCAAAGACCACAAGCAGGGCTTCTGGAGAATGCTGGGTGAGGTGGGATGGGGAGTGGAGGGTGCCTGCTTACCGTGAAGGCCCTGCTATTACCAACAAGGCCCCTTCTGTACAACAAGCCAGACAAAAAAAGCAGCCCTAGAGCTGGGATGGGGCATCTGCTCTGGCCCTGGTTCTTGTCACCTGCGGCTGCGCCCCACACCGGACTCACTCCTCAAATGGCTTCAGGTGTGCCCTCTTGGCCTGCTCCACGATGCCCAGGAAGTCCCTGTAGCAGTTTCTGGCCATGACAGCATACCGCGTGGCACAGCCCAATTCGGTGACCCTGGCTCTCGGGAGGTAGCCAGCCCAGCCAGGGATCGGGGGCTCCTGGAAAGGTTTCTTTCTGTTTTTGCATTCTGTAAAAAGATACCATGCTCCCTGAGGGCTTTGAGAGGCCACACAGTGGGTGGTGCTCCCCAGGTAGCTGGCACCCCAACAGTTGCCCGGGTGAACCCCTACGCCTCTAGAGGCCCTAAGAGCAGCTACCCCTGGTTGGTTGATTCTGTGTGCCAGGCACCTTGGTAGGGGCTTTACAAACACCCTCTGAGTTCCTGCTCTCATTCACTGTGAGGGGCTGACACCATTCTTGCCTCTGCCTTATGGAACAGGACACGGAGACCTTAAAGAGGTTAAGAGAGAGTCTTGGCCAAGGTCACATGACAAGGAAGTGGTAGGGCCAGGCTTCAAACCTGCGTCTGAGTCTCAAGTTCTTTCTCTTCAACAGATCCTGCTCCTCTCTCAGATTAATAAAAAAGCTTCACACATTGCTCTTTTACAGTCTACAGAAAAGAAGCAGGAGAAGCATCCAGGTCAGAAGAAAATACATCAGACTCAGCCCCAGGAATCTGCCTTCAGGTCATGAAATTGACCTGGCCCAATTTCCCATTGGTGAGATGAAAGATCCTGCCCGCCTGTCTCCTCCCGGTGCTGTCAGAACAGAATCGGGCCACTGAGTCCCAGAATCTCAGAGCTGGAAGGCACCGTGGGGAGCACCTAGTCCATCCTTCCCTGCATTGGATGAAGGAACTATAGCCCAGAGAGGGGAAGCAATGTGCCCTAGGTCACACAGCAAATAGTCACAGAGCTGGGCCAAATCTCAAACTCTTGGGCAGATGTTCTCTGTTATGGCTCGGAAAACTTTAAAGCCCAATAAACATGTGAGTCAGCCGCCCCAGACAACTATAGTAATAGTAATAAAGACAGTTCTGGAGTCCATTACTTTTCCTATAAGCCTTTAGACCTTAAAAAACAGTCCAGGGCAAACCATCATGGTGATTAGCCTTATAGAATCACATTGTCAGTTGTTTTTGTCATTGTTATTGTGGTGTTATTCAGTGCCTGCCAGAGCTGGGTTCCAGCTGAGGTCTGACCTCAGACAAGGACCCTGCCTCTGCAGACTCACTTCCCCCATCTCTAAAATGGGAATAGTATCGACCTCGTGAAATAATGGTGCCCAGCACAGAGAAAGCAACCCCAAAGTGTACATACTGAGACAGCAGGTGCGGTCTGAATGTTCGTGGCCACCTGCAGCGGGGAAGGGGGTCCCCGTTTGCAGCCCCCTCTGGCCTGACCAGGACCGTGTCCCTCTCCCCCAGGAGATGTTTCTTTCTCATCGTATGAAACCAAGCCTTTCCGCCTTGCACCACACCACCTGGGGATGTGGAAGTGGGTTGGAGTCCGTGCTCCCTGGGGCGGCTCAGGGGCTTGCCGGGCCCTGCACTTGGGCCCCAGGAGAAGGGGACTGGTTTCCGGGGTGCCGGTACCCAGACTCAGGGGGTGGTATTGCCGATAGTACTGGTAGAGCGCCCGCAGGACGGTCTCCTCGGAGCAGACGGGCTTCAGCCTCGGGGCAGTGGCCACCGAGCAGCGAAATTCCTCCATCTGGTTTTTATAGTGCTGTGTGCTCTCCTGGAAGATCTTCAGACAGTGGGCCATGTTGTCCTTGCTGGAGGCTTGCTGGCAGCTAAGGTAGGGCACGAAACCTGCAAGAGCCAACAAATTGCAGTCTTCAGAGAGGCCGTCGGAACCTACAGAAGCTCCCGAGAATCTCAGCCCACTCCTTGGCATTTCTTCCTTGGCCGACAACACTGCATTTTCCCAAAGGCCATTAATACAAGCAGGGCTGTTGTTTGCACTGCACTGGGCCCTCCCAAGGCCACAAAAAAAAAATGACCTTGGAGCTGGAGAGGGAAGGCCCATTTCAACAAAGACGATGACAGTAATATTCTTTGATAGCAAAGCCCCTGATGTCAGTCTGAACAGCAAATGGGGAAAGCATTTAATGGGCCAAAATGATAGTCTGAGGAGTAATTGAAATTATTCATCTTTTTAGAGAGAAAGCTTATTTTCCTTGACACTTCCCAAATGCAATTTGGGATCTTTTTTTGTTGGACCATCAGGAAATTGCGGGCTTATTAAAAGCTGAGACCTATTACGCAAAAAAAGGTAAATTCATTATCTCTGGGGCCGACCCCCTAGAACAATTTTTTACCACTTCCCACAAAATAACATATAATCATTACAATTAGTATGGGTAAAACACAAGTATTTATTTAAACTGGAAGCTGAATCCCAGGGCCTACACTATCGTCACAATAAAACTATTTTTTGAAAGAACAAAATGAAGAAAAACTGGTTAAGAACTTGGTTTTCAAGGGCTAAATAAATAAATAAATACCTCTCGCACATTACTGAAGCCCATCGTTGTGCCTGTGTCCCTGGGACCTTACCCGGAAATGGGGTCTTTGCACACGTCATTAAGGATCTGGGAATGAGATTATCCTTGACTGGGGATGGGACCTAAATCCAACCGTCTCTGCCTTGGCCCACTGTCTACATCTGGCTGGCTGGCTGGGCCAGGACAGGCACTTTTGATTTTTAGGACACTTGTTGAAAGCACTCCATTGTAAGAGAAGGGAGAGGACGATCTGAGAAAGAGACACAGAGGTGCAGGGCAGAAGGCCACGTGAAGAGCCATATGAAGACGGGCAGAGATTGGAGCCATGCGGCCACAAGCCACGAAACAGCTGGGGCCACGAGAAACTGGAAGAGGCAAGGAAGGACCCTCCTCTAGAGCCTTTGGAGAGAGCATGGCCCTAGCAACACCTGGGTTTCCGACGGCTTGCCTCCAGAACTGTGAGAGAATAAACATCTGTTGTTTTAAAGAGCAGCCCTAAGAAACTAATACACCCATTTAATAGACATTTTTACTTAGCACAGAAAGTAAGTAGCTCTTACTATCACATACATCGAGGCCGAGTGGGGACTGAAACCTCGGTTTGGTAAGAACTCAAAGCCTGTTCTCTTAACCAGCCGGTAGGACCAGGGGTGAGGCTGGGCAACCTTGGAATATTCCCCGCGCATCTCCTCTCCTAAGGACACCTTATGTGAGAGCTGGGGGCCCATGAGGACCACCTGGTTTCTCACAGAGATGTGACTCAGTAAGTTCTCAGTAGCCCAAAAGCCCGAGAAGGAGAACCTTTAGGTAGGGTGACCAACTGTCCCTGTTTGCCAAGAACTTAGGGGTTTCCTGGGACTGAGGACTTTCCAGACAAACCGGGGCACTTGAGCACTCTTCCTCTAGGGGACCCAGGAAGGAATGGGACCCTAAGAACAGCCCTCGTGCAAGACTTGAGAAAGCTCAACTTGGGAAAAAGGACAGGGCCTCGGCTTATTCATTGTGTCTATCCCTTATCTTGGTCCCGAAACACTGAATACATATTAAGTGCTTCCTGCATACCAGGCCATGTCCTGCAAGATCTGGCCTAAGTTCTCTCTCTCTCCACTTGTCAGAACTCAGTTATATCTCTCCATTCATCAGAACTCAATTATATCTCTCCATTCATCAGAACTCAGTTATCAGCCATCTTCAGCAAGGGAGGCTTTAACAAGTGTATTAAAAAGCTAAAGTGCCCATACTGGCCCAGGCAGTCTGAAAGACAGGGAGAGTGGACCAAGGTAGGGACAGTGACCAGGACCATGGTTCCCCTGCCAGGCACATCCGCAGGGCAACACACCACTTACCACTGTAGCCTGGTGTGATTGGCAGATGTCTCATGAAGGTCTCGGAAGACTCCATGATTCCGCTGGCTGTTAACGAAGGGAAGAGGGAATGAAATGATCTCATCCAACGTCCCTGTCTCAAAACTCACTGTGTGTGCTAGAGCTCTTGGGAGTAGAATGACCCCGTCCAGGGGGTTGGGACAGAGAGGCAGCACCACCATCCTCACACAGAACCAGAAGACACTGTTGGTGTCAGTTATAAAAACAAGAGGCGTTCACCTTTTCGATGAACTTAGATACAGGTGTGCAGACAGATGCCCATCCACAAGCGTCTCCCCTCCTGGGACCTCCTCCGTCCACCCAACCTTCCAGCCAGCGAGCCAGCCCGCCCGCCATCGTGAACTGTACACACACCGTGGCCAACAACTGTGATGAGGTTAGGAATATAAAGATGAGTGGGACCCAGAAGAGAAGCCCCCCTGTGAAGCCCCTAACCCTCAGAAGAAGGAAGAGATGAAGCACTCCCACCCCAGAGCCTTTCTTTCTTCCAGGCAAAAGGTTGCCCTGGGGATGTCTGCTGCCCCCCCACCCCCCCACCACCGTCAGGACAACGGGCAGTGTCTGGAGACATTTTTGGGTGTCACAACGAGGGGATAGGGTGCTATCTAATGAGTTAGAGGCCAAGGATGCTGCTAAACATCCTACAAGACACAGGGCAGCCCCACAAGGAAGAATTAGAATAGTTCTGGCTGGAAGGGCTCAGAAGTCCCCAAAGGTTGGCATGGAGCCCAAGATGGGTGAGCAGGGGGTGGTGGTGGGGGGTGGATCACCTGACATCGGGCTTATGCGGCTGCTGCATCCCCAGCCAGACCCCTTCCCCCTTCCAGGATGGCTTCTGGTCCCCCCTCAAAGAGCCAGGTCCCGCATCGGGGCATCTGTTGATGCTGCTGCCAAGCCAGTTCATCTCTCAAAGTGAGACCTTGGGGGCCACGACGGGTGGTCTCAGGGGCGGCGGGGAGCGCCATGGTCGGCGTTCAGTCAGCAGTGCTGGGAACTGTAAACACGGCTCACACACAGCACTCACTCCGATGCAGCTGTCGCGGGACGCGCTCCTGTTCAATCCTCCCCTCCCACAGGGTTAGTTCCCGTTTGAGTCCCCCATTTATAGATGAGAAAAAGAAGGCACGGAGAGGCTAACTTGTTTAAGGGTTCTCCCATCCAAGGAGGTAATGGACGGACGACATCTAATTCTGAGGGCAGCATTATGTTATCCAAAGGCGTGGCCCTGGGGAGGGGCTCAGTCCGGTGAGGGTGGGTGGCAGCCTGGGCAGCGGCCTGGAGGAGGTGAAATCCGAGGGGAGGAGCGTGGAGAGGATTTGTGCTGGAGATGGGGGCCCGGAGGGGTCAGTAAGCTCTGCCACAGCCCCCGCCCCCACCCCCCCCCCCCCCCCGCCTGCTGTCCTGGGGCAGCCGCACTCCCGCGTCCTCACCTGGGCCCGCCTGCCGGGATCTCTGCTACCCGACCTCCAGCCCTCCAGGTCTCCCTGCCTCCGCCAGTGTTCCTGGCCTTTGTGCGCTCACCCCGCCGCGGGAGGGGAGGGGAGGGGGCGGGGGGTTGGGAGGTGGGAGGGGAGGGGAGGGGGCCCGGACCCGCCCCGTTGCCCCTCCGCCTCGCTCCCCCGCCCGCACTGGACGGGAGCCCGCCCCGCGGGCCAGGGGGTTTGGGGCAACCCGAGTCCATGTGGGGGCGCTTCCCCCTGCTGCCCGCTCAGCATCAGCCCCAGGCGTGAAGTTCAGGGGTTTGCCCAACCAATACTAGGCATCTGAAGCTGTTCTCCGTACATGGTCTCCCCCGACTTGGCCCCTCTGGGTTTTGGAACTGGGGGGAGCGCTACAAGAGAGGATCTAGGTCAAAGCCGCCTTTTCTGCTGTCGATCCTGGGGCGGGCGAGGGGAGGTAAGAGGGTTGGCAGCCGGCCTTCCTCCCGGATTCAGGGTGGTGTGAGGGGCTGGCAGGGGGATGGCAAGCAGCCTGCGAGGGAAGGAGAGGCCTGTGTGGGTGGTGACTTCCCTTCACACCCCTGCCCCGCCCCCCCCAGCCCTCTGTCTTCAGACGGCGGAGACAGGGAGGGGGACGGAAAGGGGGCAATGAGCCAAAATGAAGAGGGAGGTGCCAGGGAGGTGGAGCCAGACTATTTTCTAACCATCCTCATTTTATGGGAGCTACAGGGGGCCTGAGGCTTCATCTCCCTGGATTGAAACCAGGATGCCCACTGAGTGACCCGGACAGCAGGAATGAGGGCTTTTCCAGACGGCTAGTCCCAGTGGGGCCCTGTACTCCAAACAGCTGAAACCTGATCACCCCAGGGCACTACTTTCCAACAGATTTGTTTGTGTCACTGCCTCTCCCAGCCTTACCTGCCTCTACTTCCTGGGAGCTGAAATTCAGATGAAGGCTGGTGAAGCTACCCACTTAGGAAGAACCCCTTTGAGCCCCCTTCAGTGTCCTTAGGACTCCACTATAGACTCTCCGGAAGCTTCTAAAGCCAGCTCTGGAGGGTGACCCAGGCATAGAGCCTGGAATAAACTCAAGATGAAGCAGCCAGCCGGCCATGCCTGCTAGGATGGGAGGGCTAGGCACCAGGCCTCGGCCCTTCCGCTTTGTCTTCAACCACCTGCATTTGGGTGCGGTGCAGCAGCCACCCCGGCTCATCTGCCTTCTGTCTGCCTAGACCACTTTCTGTAGCTTGGAGGGAAAAGGGGCTCAGGAACATGGATGGAGCCGTGGGTCCCAGCAAACAAAGGAGCCAGTCTTGTTGGAATGAAAGTGACTTTAAAAAAGCTTGCAACATTTGAGAAAAGACCTGAAACTCAATCTCCATCTGAGTGAGATGGGGCAGAGGGGGAAGTCAGCAATGATGCATCTATAATTCCATTCACAAAATCAGTGCAAAAAAAAAAGTTTGGGCCACACGAGATCCAGTTTTTGCTTTATTAGACGTCTGTGAAGACAGAGTTTGCAGGTACAATCTCGTCAAGTTGTGAACAGCTGTGAAGTTCTGTGGAGTGTGACTTTATCTTGTAGTGAACAAGACCCCAATGGCTGATATTTTAGAATAAAGTTCCATGTTCCAAGCAGATGAGAAGTGTGACGTAATGGACAACACCTTTTATACGAGTCATCCACTTAGTCATTTCCCAGCATAAATACACAGCTTACTCACAGCTACTTCAACTCTACAATGTGAAATTTGATCTTCGACTAATAATGCATTTGGACTCCTGTTTATATTGGCGCATGCGATTCTTTGCCACCCTGGCAATTAACCAGACCTAGACTCTAAAAGCTAAACTTGATCTAAATAACATCCGAGGGGGCGGGCAGGCTCTGCAGCCTGGACTTAATCTTCCACTCTGCGTGAGTGCCTGTACGCGTTCCGTCCGTCCGTGACTTGTCTGTCATTCAGCACTTACTAATGTCTGCTGTGTACAGAGAGGACAGTTAGAAGGCCGATCCTTTGACAGGTCTGCTTCCAAAACATGAACATCAGATAATACTCCAGGGACAGCTGAGTAATGGTCAAGACAACAGGCCTTTTAGAAACTTTCTAAGATTAGAAAATGTGTCCACGTGTATTTATCCAGTGTTCTCATTCTAGAGTATTTCCGGGGGCAGGAGGGAGAGGAGGGATGGATTGGGGGCTTCCGTTTAAGAAGCTCGACTACTGGGGCTGCATTTCTGGGGCCAGAAGAAAGTCCGGTAAAGTTATCACCCCTCTCCATCACCTGCTTGCCAACAGCACAGAGTTCAACCACCTCGCTAAGGAGAAATCAGACAAGGAGACAGCCTCAGTGCAAGGTGGGAAAGGTCTTACATCAGCCAAAAAAAAAAAAAATAGACTTCACTAAATTACTCGCACTTAGACTTAATCAAGTGGAACAGCTGGATTTGTGCCCCTACTTGATTCCTTCCTGGAACCCTGTTGTGCAGACAACACGGCACATGGGGACCACGTCTGGCTGTCAGAGTGACCCAGCTCTGCCCCACAAGAAGCTGACAACCCTACAGGGACGCAGAGGGTTTTCGTAGGTCATCCTGCACAGTCACGTGGCGTACAGAACCAGAATGTTCAGCTCTCAAAGACTGGGCAGGAGAATCGATACATGATTATGCTCCTTTCAATATAAACTGTGAGCCTCTGGCAAGGATGTGAGTGAAGCAAGGTCTGACAAAGCTGTTGATCCGGCTGTTGTCCCTTTTTTTTTTTTTTCCAGAGTATTCAGAGCCTCTGCACCTCTGACTCTTGCTCAGTCTCGCATACACAGTCCATAAGCTTAGTATCGGGTACAAATCGATAAGTAAGCGCAATTAAAAAACGAAGCCATGGGAAATTAAAGGCAGCAATGTCATCAACAAAATTCAAAGAGCATTTTCCTTTTGTTTTTTTTTAACAAAGCACATTGTAGAAATAAAGATTCTGTACAATATTCTAATATCGTATGTACATAAAATTATATTACTTATAACTAAATTGAGAAGTCTTATTTGCAGAGTATGGCTGGCAACACCAAAGAAAGACCCAGAACATTTAGCTTTTGAAGCAGAGCAGGCAGCAAGAGAACCCTAGCAAACACACCTCTGTGCCTGGACGCGCAATCCGGCTACAAAGTTAAGTTACGTGACTAGCATTCTCTTGGTCAGCGGTTTGTTCGTGTTTCACATTCTAGCAGGGAATTCTGCAGTAGGCGGTGTGGAAAGACATGTTCAAATGAAACTGGAAATGCTATTTCGAATCTGCATATTGGCTATGGTAATGGGTTTGTGAATCCAGCTTGCCTTCAAAGTGAGTTCCTTAGCTCATCCTCCCTTCGTTTATTATGCATGCCTCCAGGGATTTCAAATAGGAATGAGCTCCAGCAGAGACACCAGTTGGTTCCTCATCTGTTCTTAGGGTCCCTTTCTTCTGACCTTCCTCCTTGGCAGGCCATTCCTGTGAGGGCTAAAAGCGCCACCCCCAAGCCAGGTGGAGCCCCAGCCCCCTTCACAAAGGGCAGGGTGTGGGACCCCAGCTCTTCACTTGAAAATCCCTCTCCCCAAGGGGGAGACTACAGGCGCTGGTGTGTGCTTCAGCTTCCAACAAAACCTAAAGTTAGGAGTTCTCAGATTCCCATGGAACCGCAGTCCCCTGTGGTGTCTACTGAAAACGCAAATGCTGGTCCCCTCCTCCCCCACCAAGACCCAAATTCAATTTGTAAAAGGAAGAGGATCCAGAAACCTGCTTTTAAGAGGCACCCAGGCAGTTCTCACCAGGGGATCCGCAGATCAGCTTTGAACCGACCTGGCTGAATTCATTAAGTACAAATCTATGAATTCCTTTTAGATACGCCTAAAAAACTGAAGATTTTAGTGAAACATTTCATAGTACAGATTCTCTACCCATGTATCACCAATGTATTCTTTTTGAAATGTGGGAATGCGGGGCCAAAACTCTTTGGGAGATGAGGGGGAGGAGGGAGTTAATTTATAACAATGGACGCTTGTCAAGGTGAGGGGCTGTTCCAGACTCCCGGGCTTGGTGATGTGAACAAGGCAAACTGCAAGCCCATTTCCTAGCTTCCACAGAAGCCTACTAAGGTTTAACTTGAGTTATTTTATGAATTCAGAAATCAGGATCCGGCATCCGGGGAATGATGTCCCAGCATATGATTTGGGGTAAGTCAGCAGCGCCTAAATACCCACTTCGCTCGAAGCCAGCTTTCACCTGCTTAAAAGTGAGGGCATCAGCTCTCCCACTCACTCGAATCCTAGTAGATTAGCTCAGGCGATAGTTACTCCTCACTGAACCT